GCCCGGTGTCTGCGCGGCTCTTTCAGGGGCCCCAGCCGCCCGGGAGCTACAATGGCGGCAGGCGCGCCACCACTCTGAAGTCTAGCCTCCAGGAGCAGCACAAAGAAGCAGTTTGTGTGCTCAGCCCCCTCCAGGACCAGTTGGCGCGAGGGGACCTGGTGTGCAGGTATTTGGCAAGTACGGTCTTTCTAACGGAGGTTTTTCTCCCCCGTGCGGAGGTTTTTCTGTTTCGGACTCTCTCCTTTTCCCCTCTCACTCCCCGTAGAGGGTAGAGGGGGATCGCCTCCCACCCTGGAGTCTCCGATCCCGGCCCGATTTTATCTTCCCCGGTTCGCACTCACGTTAGAAGACTCTCTCAGTGGATTCTGCGTCTTTTTTTCTCCCAATCTCTCAGGTTTTGTAAGGTTTCCAATGGCTTCAGATCTTTTCTGTGTGATGTATGGGCACGAGTGCAAATACGGAGCTCCTTACTTCTCCGCCATCTTGCCCTCTCCGTTCTCAAAATGTCATTTTTGACTCCTCTCTCTTATCTGTCATCGTCATCCATCCACCTTTCACTTTCCCATCTGACTGTTTTTCTCACAACTCTGCTAGACAATTCATCTTGCTTCTGCTCCAGAGCCTCGACAGTACTGAGTCGCCTCTAACACCTACGTGATACAGAGGACCACAGCCTTGAGCACAGCGATCGGTCCAGGGTTGTGCATGTGACTTCAGCCAAGCCAATAACATTAAATCTTGGAACTTAGCAAAAGTTTATTCTCTTTCCTAAGGAGTTGCTAAATTAGTAGGATGATAAGCTTTGTGGGCAACTGGAGAACCTGTCTGAGAGCAGAGCACCACAGTAGCGAGCAGAACCAGCAGAGGGAATAGAGAGGACTCTCAGTGGCACGGAACAGTCCACTGACTTCTCAGTTACATCAGCCAATACTTTCATTTTTCGTTGAAGCCAGTTTGAATTGGATTCCTGGGAAAATAGAATCAAACAATTCTGCTAATACTCCTTGTCTCAAAACAAGGGATGAGATTGATACTTTCTCAAGTTTGTTCCCAGACTATCCATTAATTAGGTAAATATTGAGTATCTACAGTAAGTATAGGTAACAAAGACCAATAATGGTAAGTAGGACAGGGGCGTCTGGGTGGCTCAGTCGGTTAAGCAACCGACTTCCGCTCAGGCCATGATCTCATGGTTCATGGGTTGGAGCCCCGCGTCGGGCTCTGTGCTGACAGCCAGCTCAGAGCCTGGAGCCTGTTTCAGAGTCTGTGACTCCCTCTCTCTCTGACCCTCTCCTGCTCATGCTGTCTGTCTGTCTGTCTCTCTCAGAAATAAATAAAACACTAAAAAATTAAAAATAAAAGATAAGTAGGACATATTCTTTGCCTTCAAGCACCTAATAGTCCAGCAGGGGAGCCAGGGTTCATACATAATGAACCTATAAAGCAGAACATAATAGGTGGCCTGAAGTAGGTACAAACTACGCTGTGGAGGTATAAAGGAGAAAGAGTCCACACTTAACTGCAGAATAGACACACTTTACAGTATATAGGATTTGAGTTAGAATTTGAAGCCTGGGGAGAAATGAGAATTCCGGACAAATAGACCAGCATACTCTAAAATGAAAATGGAAATTTTCTGGACAGAAAAAGAAAATAAATGGATAGTCTGGGTTATTCAGAACATGTATTTCAAGGCAATTCAATTCGATTCATTGTGGCAAATCAGATACAACGTGGCCATATTAATGTTACATGAATGTTGTCCCACTTAGGGTACGTTAGGGCCATATCTAGGGAATAGTTGTATGTTCAACACATTAAACAGTTTTTGAATGAATGAATGAAGGTTTACCCCCTTCCCCGATACACAGGAACTCCATAAAGGCAGAAGTGAACTCCATGATTCCATGTTCATCTCTCAGCTCCTAACAGTGTCTGTTATAGAGTGGATACTCAATAAATATTTGTTGAATGATTAATGATTATTATGGAGACTTTCAATATCAGGCCAACGACTTTGAACCTAACTCAACAGACAATGGAGGGTCCTCAAAGATTTTTCAGGAAAACCCATTGTCCAGGAAAACCTACTGCGTGCTGTTCACGCTGCAGATATGTGGCATGAGCAGTGTGGTGCTTTAGAGAAAGAGATTGTGTAGCACTGAAGAGGAAAGAAAAGACATTGGAGTAGAGAGCCAGCATCACTACTAACTCACACTGAAAGTTATTTAAACCTGATCATGAAGAGAACCTTATGAGAATAGAAAACTGAGGAAGCTGTGGAAGTAAAATGGCAGAATTTGGTACCAGTCACAGAAAAGAAGTCAGGAAGAGCATCTGAGGGATGACGGAGCAAATTATATTTTCCAAAGATGGCCACAACATTGCCTTCTTTCCCACCACATAAGGAAATGAAGTCTAATTCTCCTACTCTTGAATCTGAATGGGCTCATCATTTCCTTGCAAATGATGGTGAAAGTGGCACATATGACTTCTCATGGCAAGTCATAAAAAGTGGCTCAAATTCTATCTTGCTGTCTTAAATAATTTCACCCTTGACAGCTTTGGTCACTATGTAAATAGCCCGACTACCCAGAGGCTCTTATGCTGGAAGGAAGCCCAAACTTGCTTTATGGAAAGACCACAAAGAGAGACCCTAAGAGGAAACTCAGAAAAATGCAGAAAATGCTTGAACAGACCCATGGGGGCAGCCCCTCATTGTTCCAGCACCACTAACAGATCCCAGAGAAGAGCCATCCAGCTGAGCTCTTCCTGAATTCCTGACCCACTGAAACCATAAGTAATTGATGCATTTGGTTCCAGTTATGCTGAGGATAGGCATACAAATGGATCCTGCAGGCATGCTAATGAGCTGTGTGCTGGGAATGTGGATCTGGCCAGACTAGGGAAATAGATTTAAGGGTCATTTGGAGAGATATGAAACTATGGGAATGGAAGGAGTTGTCAAAGGAGGGAATGTGGTTATAACAGAAGAGGGCCAGGGGCTACATTTGGTTGGGTGAGGAAGAGGAGTTAGTGTGAATAAAGGGACATTATTATATACTTACATAATTACTAGTTGGTTCATCTGCTTTATTGTCTGGCTCCCCTGATTAGACTATTGGATCCATAAGAGCAAAGGTCAAATCTGCTTTTGCTGCATTGATAAGTGCATTAGTCAGGCTTGCTACAGTAACTGCCCTATAACCTCAGTGGCTTTCAGCAGTGGACACTTTCTCACTCCTGTAACATGCACGTTCCACTGTAGGTCAGCAGTGGCTCTGTGCAAGGCCGCCATCTGCTGCATGTGTCTTCTCATTCCAGCAGTCGGTGGAGACAACCACCTCCATCTGGGACATGCTGTTTTCAGCAAAGAAAGGAGAAGCAAGACGTCTGCAGGAACAGGTGATGCCTCTAAAACTTCTGCCTGGATGAGGTGTGTATCATGCCTGCCTCCTTCCACTGGCTAGAGCTTGACCCATGGCCAAGCTCAAAGTAACCTCCAGAAAACACAACAAGTTGCATGGTGCTAGGTGAGCATGTAACTCTCTTACAGAGATGTGGCAGGAGTGCGTGATTGCTGAAGTAACTTACCCCTCCCACCAAAATAATCTTTGTGACTAGATAATCCTTGGCACTGAAGAGGTGCTAAAAAATTTGGTGAATGAATGAATGAACATGGTAAGAGAGGTAGGAGAAGATCAAAAGACAGTATTTAGAAACTCGAGGAAAGTTTGACCTCCAATTCCCAAAGGAATCTGGGAGCAGAAAACAGTAGACTTTATGAACCCACTGAGGTCATATGACTAGACTGCACAGTATTTTCTATGGGAAATCTCACAGACACACTCATCTCAGGTGTGGATCCTACAAGATAATTCATTTATCCAAAGTTCCATGACACTTCTACTCTGCATCCTCCCTGAACCCCACCCCTTCTTGCTTACTAGTTTCATTTAGATCCCTTAGAAATGGGAGCTATGAATGTGAGATTAAGATGCAAATGCGCATTGGCTAGCACCTAGCAAATCAAAGAACTGTGTGATAGGAAGGAAGCCATTCTCCTCACCTTCCACTTGAAACAAGGTCAAGTCACACTCTCCAAGGGCACAAAGAGGTCACCGCAAAACTGGAGGTGGTTCAGACTGGGGGAGAGAAGGCGGTGGGGGTCAGCCTTGTAAACAACAAAACCAATAAGAATGCTGCTGTGCTTTAATTTAGAAATATCCATGCAAGTCACGCTTGTTAGCTTTCTTTATTTTTAATTCAAACTAATGAAAAATTGAAAGGAAATGAGATGTTCCATGAGATTTAGCCAGACACTGAATAGGTCTCATGGAATCTGACTGCAAAATTAGTTATGGAGAACTTTTGGCAAAAACCACTACTGAGATTAAAACACTGCCTGCCTGTTCCTAAAAGGTGGTGGTGCACACTGTGGGGCCCCTGCGGAACCATTGCAAGGGCCACTCTTCTTGCCCCATTCCTGATTACCTAGGAGATGAGATTTTTAAAACAAGTTTCACTTAGTATGAGCTGTGCTCAGTTGAGGTTTCTTGGCCAAAATGGCAAGAATTAAATAGTGAAGATAGAAGAAGACTTTTTAAGTGTATTTATTTATTTTGAGAGAGAGAGAAAGAGAAAGAAAGAGCAAGTGGGGAAGGGGCAGAGAGAGAGGGAGAGAATCCAATGCAGGCTCTCTGTGCTATCAGCATGGAGCCCCACATGGGACTTAATCTCTTGAAACTGTGAGATCATGACCTGAGCCGAAATCAAGACTCAGATGCTTAACCAACTGAGCCATCCAGGTGCTGCAGTGAAGACAGAAAAGTTTTAAATTAGATTCTGATGTTATTTGTGTGTGTATGTGGTAGATGTGTATGCATGTGTGTTGAGATATATGGAAATGGTGCACAGATACATCAATTTGTGAATTAGAAACCATGAGAAAAGCAATCATTGAATGGTTATAATACCTTTCTTGCAGGGAGCTGAGTATCTTACATAAATTTGTTTATCTTCAAAAGCTGAAACTATTTTGTGTAATGAACTCTCATCCCCTGAATGTCTAGATTTAGCCTCCCCATGGTTCCTTTGCACAAGCAGAGGGAAGACATTACCACATAGCCTCTTGTTTCTGGCTGATGGGTAGTTTAGTAGAATTCCATGTTAAAGCAGCAAGAGCTTGTCTGTTAATCCAGTTAGTTTTGTTTTGTCATTTAGATTTCATACATTATTCTGGCTTGCCAGCCATCTTGAAAATTGGGTAGAAGAATGACACCGATTGTTCCTTGTTGCTAGCAAGCCTCTGAGTGGTAGCGACCATACTGTAGCCACAATGAACTTCTCTCAGTTTCTGAGCATCTAAGTTATTTCCTGACTCTGGGCCTTTGTAGGACTGTTCCATCCTGGGAAGTCCCCAGTGTGTTTTTTCTGCTTTCTTTTCTTGGTTAACTTCTCAGGTTTCAATTTAAATATCCCTTCTCCAGAAAAGACTTCCCTGACTCTCTATACTCTTCCCACACTGTCTATACACCAAGTTCCTCCTTTCTTGTGCTTTCTTAGAGCACCCTACTCTTCCATCATTTGTGACTCTGTATGTGCCTATTTGGTTGTGTATTGCTGTCTCCTACCACACTGTAAAGGCAGGGACAGTTTTTCTGTCTGGCTCCCACTGCTTCCCCAGCATTTGGCAGAGTGCCAGGTATATACATATATATACATATATATATGGATGCTCATAGTTGCTGAATGAATAAGAGTTCTGCTAACGGGAGGTTAGTAATACCTAGGAAGTTTCATTTTAGAGATGGAAATACCTTAGAGGTCATGTGAACCAAATCCTTGCAGACATCAGATCCATTTTAATCCATAGCACTTTGGTTATTTTCATTCTCTTCTACAAGCACGCCACAGCTTATATATTCTTCTGGAATTGGGATTTGGTTTGTTTCCAATTTCTTGCTATAATAAACAATGCAGCTAACAGTATTTCCATATATGTTGCTTTGTGCACCTTTGCCTAGAAATGGAACTTGTAGGTAATAGGATATGCAAATCCTTATCTTTACAGGATAACACCACCTATTTTCCAGAGGAGCTGTTCCAGTCATGGCTCGCAGTAGCTGGGCCTGAGCGTTCCTGTTGCTCCACTTTCTTGGCAAAGTTTGATTTGAACAGATTTCTTAACATTTGCTAATCTTGTGGGTGCAAAATGGCAGTTTGAATTTTCATGAGTCCAATCTGCTTAGGCCAGGGGTTGCAAACCTGGTCGTACATGGCTGAGTGAGGCCTGCGGTCTGGATGCCGTCCACGGGTGTGTTTTGTTTGACCAAAGGGTATTTTTTGAACCAAAAAATGGAATTAGTTGCCAATATTTGAATATCGGAAGATTTCACTGAAGAATCCTGACTTCTGTTATTCCCTTGGGGGAGAAAAATGGGAAGATATCCCTCCACAGGGCCCATATTCACACATGATGACAACTGGCAGTAGTTGAGAATCTGTTGCCTCTGCTTGTCGTGCCGGTGATATGCTTTGCAATTGGCCACGGTCCTACAGCCAACCTATATCTTGTGGTTATCTTCGCTTTCTGGTCCCAGTAGTGTTTTAAATTGTCTGCCCTTTTCTGAGCCTCCGTAGAACAGAGAAAGGACTTAGAAGTGGGGTGGTGATGGATGGGTACCAGTCCACTCAGGTTTCACCAGGAATTGCCCTGCATGATAGCACTGGACATATGGCTCCAGATAAAGACTAGAACACTTGCTGAGTTTAGGGCCATGTCTTCCCTAAAGCCTCTTTTGGCTCATCTCCCTGTGCCGTGTGCTGCCCCCTTCTCTAACCCCTTCCTCAGACGTGATCTTCCCTGACTGAACTTCCCAAGACCCTTTGTCTATACTCCTCTCAAGACACCTGTTTATTTTCACTATGTATTATGGTTATTTGTGTACTTTCCCCCTTTCCTCTCTTTCATTGAAAGCCCCGTAAGATTTAAGACCATGTATTCACATGTCTGTCTTTTTAATGATTTTTTATTTGTTTACTTTTGGTCCTTCATAGTATTTTGACATGGTGGCTTGTACAGGCAAGTTTTCTTTGTTTATTTCAACACACGCTTACTAAGTGCTCCATGCCAGACATTGTGCTGGGCACTAGGACCAGGAGATGCCAACGCTGCTTTGAAGATCTGACAGGATCCTGGGGGAAAGTGCCACACTTCATCCCTCCCTCCCTCTCTCCCTCCCTCCCTTCCTTCCTCCAAACAACAAATTAAGTTGAATGCTTACTATGGGCCAGACACTGCACTAAGTATTGGGAAGAAACGCAGACAAGATCCTTGCCTTATGGAGCTTACAGGCTAGTGAGGGCACAGATGTTCACTTGCCTCTAACTCAAGAAGCTGGCCTAGCCTGGGAGTCAAGCAGGAGACCAGGGAAGAACACAAGCTGATTTGAATGAGGAATAGAGGCTAACCAGATGAGTTTCTAGGGGTGACAGCCTCTCTACAAGAACGTGTCTGCCTCAAAGGGCCTCCTTCACCTATCTCCAGAAGAGGAGAAAAGGAAGCACAGGAAGTTGCGCCTGGTACAGAGCCCCAACTCCTACTCCATGGACAAGAAGTGTCCAGGATGCTACAAAATCACTGCCATCTTTAGCCAGGCAAAGACACTAGTTTTGTGTGCTGGCTGCTCCATTCTTCTTGGCCAGCCTACAGGAGGAAAAGCCAGGCTTACAGAAGGATGCTCCTTCAGACAGAAGCAGTGCTAAAAGCACCGCTAAAATCAAGATGAGTGGGAAACTATCCCAATAAACACATTTTGAAATTAAAGAGAGAGAGAGAGAGGGAGAGAGAGAGAGAGAGAAGCTAACCAGATGAAGTGGGAGATGGAAAGGAATATTTGTTCCATGTCCATGCAGAAGAGTTAGCTTGTACGGGTTAGTTATGGTGAGCAGGAGGCTCTCAGACCAGGGAGCAGAGTCAGTGTGGCTGGAATCTGGAGTGTTGGGCACAGGAGAGTGGGAGATGAAGCTAGAGATGTAGGTAAGGGCCAGACCCCAAATAGCAATGAGTACGATCGAGTGTGTAGGTGCTAACATAAAGGTGCATACACCTGAGATACTCAGTTGTTGATGGAATTAATGCACAAGTATGTGAATATGTAGATGACTATTCTAGAAACTTACCATCTCATAGAGGAGATGGGATGTTGGACAGACAGTTTGCTGTCATTGTTTAATCAGGAGGGGGCAGAATGGATGTTGAACATTTCAGAGACCTAGAAATTCTGCATTAGCTACAATGAGAAGAATCCTGTGAGCCTGGAGATTTATTAAAGATGGATGGCTCCTTGCCCTCACACCTGACTAGAAAAGGAATGGCCTTCCCCAGGTTTCCATAGACCCTGAAAAGAGGAGGATTGTTGCCTGCGGAGGATTAGCTGAAATAGGTCCATAATGAGCCAGCCTTAAGTCATTGACAGCACTTGGCATTTAACTGTAAGGAGCAGGTCTTATTTCCTAAGCTCTTGCCTTGCTAGTGTACCTCAAGGCTTCTCAGGCGAACAATCCTAATAAGTAGATTTTTTTTTCTCCTTCTACTGCGTTGAGGCTGCCTGAAAGCTTCCTGCCCCTGAGTTGATATTCTAGGCCATGCTGGTGGCAGAACTTTCTCAGGCACACAATTGAAATCTAAAGCATCCTTGGGGAAAGCTCCTCTTTGACCCAATGCTACTCTTTAGACTGGAGGAACTTTTTTTCTCATGGGGTTTATTGTAATTGATTCCTTTAAATCACAGCAAAGTGTAACACCCTGCCAGCCTGTGGCTGGTTTGTGTGTTTGTTTGTTCTGTTGTTGTTAATTTATCAAGTATTAAGAAAAGGAGCTTCCTGTTGCCCTGGGCTTAGTACCACCCACCTCTGTCCTTTTGCTCATTCCATACTTTTGCTGGGAATGTCCTCCCTCCTTCCAAGGGCTGTGTCTTCCATAAAGCCTTCTCCAGTAATGCCAGACCACGTGCTGCATCTTCTCCTGACCTGCTCACAACTCCTACCAATTACTCTGTACCTATTGGTATTTGATTATATTATTTATTCATGCATTTTCTTATATGTGTGTGCCTTGGGTCTTCAACAAGGTTACAACTTGGCAGTAGGCCAATAAGTATTTGCTGCATGTATTAATGGCATATAAAACTCAAGGACCAGGACTGCGTTAGGTCCTTCTTTGCTCCCCCCTACTATACTGAGTCAGTTGTTGGGATCATAAGAAATATTCAGTAAATATTTTTGAAGCAAATTAAATAACAGAGGTTAGACTGGAAGGTAATACATTGCAGTGATTAAGAGCATAGAATACCGTATTGTGTAGCTCTAAGTTATCACCTAAGGACTTGGATGAATTCAGCAATTTCTTCAAGCCTCAATTTCCCTGCATGTAAAATGGGGATTGTAGCAGTGTCTACCTAAAACGGTATCACTGGTGGGGTGCCTGGGTGGCTCAGTCGGTTAAGCATCTGGCTCTTGATTTTGGCTCAGGTCATGATCTCATGGTTTGTGGGATCGAGTCCTGCATTGGGCTCTGTGCTGATAGTGAGGAGCCTGCTTGGGATTCTCTCACTCCCTCTCTTTCTGCCTCTCCCCAGCTCATGCTCTCTCTCTCTCTAAATAAATAAATTTTTTAAAAAACACTAAAAAGAGAGATATCATTGGAAATTGAATACAATAATGCATACACACAAGACTAACCCAAAGCTAAATGAGTCTCAGAGTGGGCTGAGAACAATTTAACTGCACAGGAATGTTGAGGGTTGGAGCTTTGAGACTGAAAAGGGAAACAAAGAATTGGACTCTTTGTTGGAGCTTAGAATCTATTTCAAAATGCAAGGGTTCCAGGGAACATTCCAAGTTGAGTGACCCCTAAAATAGTGTAGGCACACCAGAAAGTAAAACCAAGCATAATGCAGCAGACTGATCATTCCCAAATCACACCCCCATACCATGCCAAGGCAGTTATTTCCTTCTCATTCCTCTTCCATCCTCAGAGAGAAAAGTTTGATGGTATATTCATTTATAAGTGTGGTGGTCCTTGTTCAGCTGCACTTGAACCCTTGCTGATCTCCTTTTCTGTGGAGGAGAGCCTTCGCCTCAGGCTGCAATCCTTTGATAGACCATTGTATAGTTTAGCCCGAATACAGTGTCACTGTTCTGCTACTGATTTTTATGACTATCTTTTATTTAAGTTAAGTAATACTGGATTTTCCACTAACAGTAATATAAAATTTCCTTTCACATTTACTTTTAGGGAAAAAAAAGAAAGAGATAATTAAAAATTAAATAAATATTAGTCTAGGAGGTCCATGCTTAAATAAAATAACATGAAGGAGCTCCAGACCAGTTCTGCTCTTCAAGAGTTATGCAACCTTGGAAATGCACGTCATTTGCCCTAGCCTCCCATTTTCTAGTCTATAAAGTGAATGGATTGGACAAGAGATCATCGCTGTGGTTCTCCTTGCTTGTATGTTCAAGCATTTGGGGGAGGGGTCCTTGATGGTGGAGGGCTGACTTGGTTTGGAAGAATTTGCTGTGCAGGGAGGTGGGGAATGGTAAGGCTGAACAGATGCACCGTGCCAGGGACATGCAGGGGGTATTTATTCTCTGGCTATATTTATTCATGTGCACCAGCCCCAATTTGTCATCTTATTTTAGGACTCAAAATGTTCGTTTCAGACACCCAAACTTGAAATTGGCAAGTAAAATTATAACAACATGTGGCCAATTGAACTTCCTTATTTCCCCAGATTTCCTTTCCTTGTGACCTTGGAAAAAATGTTTTCGCCCCTCTTAAAGAAATGGCGCTAGGTGGGTCCTATTCTCTAGTTTCTAGTATGCTGATAGCTATCGCTTACCAAGCTTTTAACATGTACCAGGCACTCTGCAAAACACGTTAAGCATTTCATATTGCTAATCTTGCAACAATTTGAAGAGGGAGATACTGCTATTATCTCGCTTTACAATGAGGAAACTGGGGTCCAGAGAGTTTAAGTGACTTGCTCAATGTCACATAACTCATAAGAGACAGAAATGGGATTCAAATACGGGTCTGTTGGGCTCCAAAGCCCATGCTCTGAAACCATTATGTTATACATTGTTAGCATTTTCTGTATCAGATGTTTTTTTTAATCTTAAAATGAAAATCTATGAGTTAAGGATCTAAAATTGAAGGTTTGTTTTTTTAAAGAAACCTAAATGTATTCAAGAAATGTTAACAGAATGGAATACTATCAGGTTATTAAAATCACAAGTGTGTGGACCATACTAATGTAGGAAAGTGTTCACGTGAAATACCACTTAGGAAAAACCAGTGCAAAGGGGAATGTATATATACTGATCACAGTGCTGTAAAAGCTATCTTAATAAATACTGTCAAGGACTATACAAAATTTGAAAGATGTGGATAGCTCAGAGTTCGTCTTTTAGGCTCTTTTTTTCTTCAACTTTACTTAACTCTTAAATATATAAATTTATGTAGAGGAATGAGAAAGTTTTTTTCTTTTTAAGGGTGTAAACCAGGAATAATTTTTAAAGGAGCCTAGCTGCAGCTAGGGCCCTGGACTTGCACATTATTGGTCCACATGAAGTATCTAGTGAGCAGGCCATTACTGCTTGGGACCAGACTGAATTAAAAATCTCTCCTGAACTCCTAGTCGTTTATTGTCCTTAATCTACTTTATTGGATCAGAATTTGGAGAGAAGCTTCCTCTTACCAGAACTTTGTAAATGGTTTGGGTGAACCGCATCAAGAAGAATGTAAATCTGCACATGCATTGAATACTCCACCAAGGATTTCAGTGGACCCGTGAGCCCCTGGGCATATGTGAAACAGCTGCTAAAAAAACTCTTCTGAAGTCCCAGCTTGGATGGCTAGAATAAAGTTGAGGTGAACCTGACAGAGTCTGGTTTCAGGGCAAGAAAGCAGAAATGTTCGTCCTGGTGGTCTCTTCCATTGGTGTGGTGTCTTTCACGACTGTTTCATGGTCATGACCACCTTCCAGGCTGGACAGAGCAAATGATGCTGTGGTTTTAAGAACACAGGTTTGGGACATGGTTGCCAGGATTAAAATACCAATCTTGTTATTTATTATCTATGTAAAACCGGACACACGACTTAATTTTGTGAACCTCTGTCTCTTCTATAAAGTGGAGATGATGCTAATGACTAGAAGGAGGAGGGCGTTGACAGCACTTTGTAGTTGTGAACATTTGGGAATGTGTGTCACATAAGCTCTTAGCACAGCGCCTGGCACAGAGGAAACCCTAAGTAAACAACGTGGTTAAGAAAACATAACTAGTGGGGCATCTGAGTGGCTCAGTCAGTTAAGTGTCCAAATCTTGATTTCAGCTCAGGTCATGGTCTCATGGTTCATGAGTTCGAGACCCACATTGGGCTCTGCACAGATCATGTGGAGCCTGCTTGGGACTCTGTCTCTTCTCTCTCTGCCCCTCCCCCACTTGCTCTCTGTCTCTTTCTCAAAATGAATAAAAATAAACTTAAAGAAAAAAGATAATACAACTAGTAATGAGCATGGTTGAGCCTCTATCCCAGATAATTCTTCCAGTTCACCTCTCCTTATGACTTTTTTTTTATACATTTTAATGCATTCATGCATTTTCTATCTACTATAAGTAATGATGTAGCTATATATAACTATATATTTTTTCCTTTTTTCCCCTTTCACGTAAACTAAGTACCTTTGCAGAGAAATAAGTGAA